TAATAATTCGTCGCGTGTACAGTGCCATCCCAGTCAATCACTTTGTAAATATTAGGTTAGTCTATCAATCGAATTCTCAATGCCAATCGTAAGACGTGAACGGAGAATAAATACTCATTCGTAATCAAATTTATTCTGATCTTATAAAACATGATGACTTTCCCGATGAAATGAATTAACGTGTACATTTCATAGTGTTACGTCGCATACCAATTAACGTTACATCGCACCAAGCTTACACAGTGTTCGACTTCGCTTCGATTGCCTAACTTAATTTACTGTCACGTGTTTTTCATAATTGCTTTACCACATTTCAATTGCACGCGAGTGTGGAACGTAAGCGACACTGACAATAATTCCGTGTATCAGCTGTCCCCGCAGTCCTCTTGTAAACAACAATTGTCACACAGATCACTTCCCCGACATGTTTGCCAAGAGTCGTTCAATATTTCAGTAATATGCATGATCGATGTTAAAATACCTACAGTTAATTAAAAACAAACTACTGTAAAACATGTTTAAATAGCTACATGCCATTTTAGCGAATTTGACTCCATACATGAATTAACTGAATCTTACCGGTAATTTAGCTAAAGTGTCCAACATTTTCATTGTGAGAATATATTTTATTTTAAATTAGCGACATCTTGAATTATCGAAATTACAGATTAGCTAAATTAGCTAAAATAACATGCTAGCTAAAAAGACATGTTTCGCAATATATTGTAAAGGAAATAGTAGCTTATATGTGAGGGTATGGACGCAAAATAAACCTAGAATACATTTCTTTCAGCCGTGTTTGCTTAAAAAAGACCATACTTTCATGACAACATTCCACTGTTTGTTATGCCATTCACCGTTTATTAGTCACCTCGGATTTGAACAGGAAATGGAAAATAAATTGAATCGAGATACACATTTCCATTTAATAAACCGTCTTTTTAAAAAAAAGAAACATTACGCGGTAAAAATGCATGGATGTCTTACACCTACATTATATTATAAATGATTCTTTAGAAGATATAAATCCAGAAATCCTGTGGGAATTATATTCCATAAAATCACAAATCTACTAGATTTAATGATGTATTCGTAATATCGTTCGCTGGACATGCATGCGCTACCTTTTAGTACCCCCTTGACCTCACAAGCAGGAAATAAAGTGCTTACAAACCGTAAGGGATTAAGTACACCTTGTGTGGAACCGAATCGAGGCTACGTGCCTGCCGCTAAAATCCTAACAGCTGTGGGCATGTTACAACGCTGTTATAAATTAAAGATTTGTTGAACTGAACTGTAATTTTGCTATAAATTTGCCGCTTTAAACAGAAAATCCCGAAATTCCCATCCAATTCCCGATATTGATGAACATACCCAGTGATGCATTGTGGGATTGTATAATTATCCGTCTCAAGACGTATTATTAAATTTTCAAATTGAAAAGTCGTTCTAATTATTACGCACATATATTGTGATTGTATATTATGAGTATATCAATCTATATTCGTATTATTATTGACAGTGAATTTAGAAGTGTCACGTCACAGTTCAATCTCCTAATATTGCCAGTTCAATAATCCCCCGGGTGTCAGCTGCGACATGCACAGTCAGCTTGAAACACAGACAGAATATTAAACACTCGGCAATGCTATACATATAAAGATGTATGTCACGCTACGTGTTGTTTTCCAGTTGTATCATTCATTTTACGAAATCGACAATAAAAGCTAAACATGGACGTGAACTTGTCAATCGTCACGGTATCTATATACTGCGTATTGTGTACAGAACTATGTAATTCATACTCATATTGGAGCATCTGCGCTGATTATAGCATTTTTCGCATTATTCATATAATGTTTATATGCGCATCGGCGTACTCTGTCGACAGCGCCATTTACGTGGCGTGTGAATTGATCACGTAGTGTTTCACGAATTTGTGAGTGCGTTCTCCTAGTTACGTCGTGTGGATTCATTTCTCTAGTATAATGAAACACCTTTTACCAGGTGGCTCTGTCTCCTAAAATTGCAGTTTTTATTATTTTACCCTTAAAATAAAATGTTCTCTACGACATTGATCTTTATAGTTGTGCAGATGTACTGTTCCCACTTGTCCCCAATAAATCGACGAATATCTTGTTTATCTCGAATACAGATATAAGTATTTCGGTTTCCGTCGTCATGGATACTAAGTCATGCTTGGTGTTAATGGCCGGCGGTTCCCCGGTCCATTGATTTTGCTAGATAATCGAACGAAAACCGTTTTAACGAACTGAAAATTCGATCATGGTGTTCCGCAGTTCACGATTCAGTAAGCAGATTACTCTCAAGTCTCGGGGGGTGTTTTTATGGTCTCTGATGAGAAAATCTCTTATGATGCTGGGTTATATCACGTTATTTTTCGTTATTTCGACCTTTCACTTATCGGTAAATCAGATCGTCTGGAGCCTCTCGACCGGTTTATACGTGACACGGACAGTTTATCATACATTTCACGTCAAATGGAGTAATATGGTAATGTTAAAAGCTGTAGCTGAGAATATTATCCCTGTCGATTGGCAATTCAATATGTTTTTACCATGTTCAAATAGACGGCAATGCAAACTCTATACGCTGTGGTAATGAATAAATAAGAGAATGTCTCGATGCTATTTTTCATATTGCATGTTGATAGACACACTGGATTATATGAGTGCGATATTAGCTGTTTTTATCTAACGCATATTATTGTGTCTCCTACAACATTTTTACTATATGATAAATCATAATTCGATTTGATCTACATTATGGAATACCTAAAACATATTAAAAATACATGTTTTCTCTCATATTGTATCTTTAAGGTATGATAATAGTAAAATAAAATACTGCTAACAAAGCATATTCTTTCGATGCAATACTGAATATGCCATGTTTTATTATCAATCAATCAATCAATCAATCTTTATTCAGTACTGGGCCGCGACCCATCGTACAATATTTGAAAATACATAGGTTGAGGTGTTATACAGAGAAAAAGAAACACAAACTATTAATTACAACACCACAAAAACAGTAAAAAAAATATTGATGATTCAATTTACATGTAAAGAATGAATAAATCACTAAAATATTACATTTACCTTGTCTCATAATTATCTCCTCTTTTGAATGCTTGTAACAAGTATATAGCTAAACGACGAATACTACAAGGTTGGGATGTTGAGAGAAGAGACATTAGTTTTTCAATATTGGGATAAGTATTATCTGTACGTATAAGTAAATCTGGCGCATGCGTATTGGCGTTTTAAAGTTTCTCGTTGAACGAATAATGTTATATTCGCTGCCAAAGCAAGCGTTTTATTTCATGAATTTTCTTTTTTATGAAAAAAATGCAATATGTCGGGATTTTTTTGTAAACATGCATAAAAAAAAACACAAAGTTATCGATCATCCCCAAAATAGATGTTGTTAGAGCAACCGCGAAGATAATACAGCAATATTATCATTCTGGAAAATAATACATCTCAAAACTAAGTAAAAGAAGGCATTGGTCAACTCCAAACATCATCCGTGTTGTCAATAGCAACGAAAGGTGCAATTTGGATACATGTCACGTGGTCGGTGATTTATGGACGAGTGTTTTTATATACATGTACTTCGAATCATTCACCGAGACAACCGTCTCACGAGATAATAGCTCAATACATCATCGCATATATATAACATTACATTACACAATGTCGCAATAGCAGCCCATGATTCATATGACAGACTGGCCACCAAACAGAACGAATAAGTATGGGCATATGGCTGACGTATGGAAGAAAGTAGTCCTAGTCCTACCACCTTCCAGGGTCGACGCGACACGGGTCAAAATTAGATATTTGTCTGTTTGGGATGTGACTACGCATAGCAACGCCGTGCCTTGTTTATTTACAGAATATTCGCATGCGGGCACAATCACAGATGGGCTAAAACAATGTGTTACTGTTTGTAGACTGAAACAATTGGGAACTTAGATTCGTATAAAAACAGAATCATATTATACGCATGTTCATCCCAACAGTGGTGGACATACACTCATTGTAAATGAGCTCTTCGGGTACACTGCCCACCACCTCCACTCTACAATCATGGCGGCTTGCTGTTAGCATGGTTTTATCAATCTATAAATTCATCAGGTTCGGTTTGACGATGTTTAACTGTTTTTGAAAACATCATCCTGGCGCCTGTTCGATGCCCCAGGGTGCTGCCGTGTAGTAAACGCAACTTAAGTTCGCACCAAAACACTGAACAGAGCTGCAACTAGTTTGATTTCAGGTTTATTTCAACAACATTGTCTTTCAACACATGCATTATACATATTATTACAGATTACAGATTTACTGTCAAAACACCGTGACACTGCATACGTAACACACTCGAACACATCGGTACACAGTGACGAAAGATAGAGATGTATTGCGCACATGAAGATCGGTTGTCTCAATGCTCACGGACCAGACATACTGGCAAAACTCTCGGCAAGCGCAACTACAAATCAAGCGATATCCCTGAAAAAAATCCCAGTATTCTATTTTATAAGATAGTTAAACAGTAAAAGTAAACGTGACAAGCTAGTTCATTTATACCTACGGTATGCCCGCGAATCGTATTCCCTTGATTAAAATCTTGAACGAAGATCCCGGATGCTGGGGTGCTATAGGGAGGATACTCAAACACGCGAACATAATCATTGAGCAAACTGCGCAGGGGCGTCAAGAAACAAACACTTTTTTCGGGGACTATGAGACACAAACATTATGGTCGAGAAAAAAAAAACATGGAAATTTAAAATGGCTGCTTCTAAGTCACGTAGCTATTTCTACTGCTTGTGATTTACAAAATAAGTTTGACTACCAAAGTACTCCGTATTATGTCTAGCATGTAATCGGACAATGTTGTTATTAACAATTTTAACCAATTATTCTAGTTTCAATGTTCACAATATGTATTTTCTTTTTTACGCAATTATAAAAAAAAAAATAATTGCAAAAAACAGAAACAAAATTAAAATAAATATACGAACCTAACATATTACACAGCATTCTAATATGAAATGTAATTGTCTAAAGAAGATCAGTGTACGTATTGTATATACTAAAATGTCATGCAATGCATATCATCATGGTTCTGAACACCGACACTGGAATCAGTTTTTGATAAAACTATTCAAAGTGATATATAATACTTTCTGAATACATACTAGGCATCTTGCTTGACTTTTTTTGATACAATTTACTTGCATCCTCTGATTTATAAAACATAAGCAGTTGTACTTACTCACAATACATCCCTGCGTGATTTGCCTGCAATGCAGCCATTTTGCATTACCCATAATGCATCGCGTCTTTTTTCATTTGAGTGCGTGATTTTATTACCAGAAAATATTGTTTTTCTTGACGCTCGGCGAATTGTGCTTCACGATCATGTCCGCGTACTTGAGTGCCCTCTCTACTATGGCACCTTTGGGATAGGGGTAGGCAATGGAAATATCAGGTATACATTAGAATATATCTACATGTAATGTGAGAATCAGTATATTATGTAACACGACAGTTTTGAGGATATTTTCTTTCATAAAATTGTGAAATAAAGTGACTGAGTAATTGCAAATGATAAAAAGCAGCGACGACGTGCGCGGATGATAATCTGGCCAGGTTTGAGTCATCATCAGGCAATATTAAAGCGGGAGAGTCAGCTGCGCATGCGTCATACGGCCATAGCGTGTCATTGTCTACAAACAAACGTCTACCCATGAGCCTTTGCGTTTTTAGCGTGAGTTGTTATCGTCGCTTGGGACTCAATTCCCGCGCGTGCGCAGGTGACGACCCTCCCGCTTTAAACGAACCTATTTGTTTCTCTTCACAGTGTTGGATGACAGTCGTGCTATTGGTAGGAAGGAAGGTCATTGTCCTATGATATTACCAGAATCCATTGGGCAATGTTCCAACATGTGTGTATACGACAGCGACTGTGAAGATAACCGAAAGTGTTGTCTAAACGGATGTGGCGGTACAAGCTGTATACCACCACAATCAGGTATGAAAAGTTGTTAACATGATGTCACATGATGTCACGCCGAATAAATTACGCGTAATTGCGCGCTGCCCCAACACCAATTGCGCGCCGCGGCCGCGAAATACGTCATATGTGATCGTTATGGGCGTGGCTCGTATTACTCATCCCAAAGCATGTTATTTCATGGGTAAAACACAATTCAGGATTTTATTCTACTTACATTCTTTTCAAAGTTCATTTGTATGCACATTCACGTTCCTTTTGCATTTTTTATATCCATTTAAACTGCCTGTTTAAAACTATTAAAGCATTTTAAAGATTATTTCATTGTATATGCCAATTTTATTAATTCTGTTTTTTTTTTTGTTTTTTTTGTACATAATGCCCTGGATTGCATTTAGATGAAATCTCGGTCGGTAAAGGCACGTTGTTCGTGTTGTAGCATCCATCAATTTCAGTGCATGGCGCCAGTTTTCTACACAGAGTAGAATTGATTCCGAGATTATAAGATAGATTCTTTATCTCATAGGAGTAATAGTCGTGTCCATATAATTGCATTAATTTTCGGAATATGATTCCATGTGTGTATGCAGTCTCATATCTAGCGCTCGTACTTAAATATTCAAACATTAGTACGATTTGGTTTGAATTTCAAATTATGCCATTATCCCTCCGGAGCCACTACTCAGACATATACAGTGGTCGATTTCGTTCGTAATATCACATTGACATCATGTGATGTCATCATTCCTTTGTGATTCTATCAAATATTGCCGACTGGCTGCATTTTGTTTACATACATACGATGCTTACGTCGTCATAGTGCAAATCTAACCACGATATTACAAAAATGCCAATAAAAACTGACAAAATGTAATATTTTACAGCATCCAGATTATCGTTTTGTGATGATTATAATTTTTCAATCTCGACCATTTTCAACATTATTTTTTACATGTCGAGTTTTGCTATAGGAACATAAACAACTAAACATAACCACTGTTCTTTGTTCGTTTATTTGTTCCTTACAGACCCATGTGTTGGGTATCAATGTCCACGCCAGGGACAGGCTTGTGTTTCCCTTCTCACTCACGCTGTATGTCTATGTAACACACACTGCCCGGATGTATCGGAGCCTGTATGTGGATCGGACGGTAATACCTACTCCAATAAGTGCTATTTGGACGCACATGCCTGTGAGTTGGCTATCAGTGTCGATGTCGTTCCCTGCAACGAAGGTGAGTCAATGACACGTAAGGTGTACTTTTGTTTATTTGGCTTAAAGCGCGGTGGTCGTCGCGCAGCGCGTGTTCGAATTTCATGTAAATAAACAATGTATTTTACACGCGTTGTATACATCGCTATGAGTCCCATATGGAACAGGACGCATCACGACGACTGCCGCCCTTTAACTCACTCAATTTTCACGACAGATTAGTTTTCATATTTAGAATATACGCGGCACGTGGTGAGTGAATACGTGCGAGGAGCGGCACGGTGATTCGCCTCGACATAAATTACGTAAACTCGTGTATTCAGTGTTTTACTTTTATTTATTTATTGAAATTTTTCCCGAATAACAGAAGTGACAGGTTTTGTGTTGGATTGCAATCCCACTGACTAAAACTATTATTACTCCTACACGCATATCCGATGTGACAATGACGTCACTGTAGAGGTGTGCCCCTAACCAACAGTCTTCACTCTGTCCCGGTATGTGTAATGTAAACAAAACGTAAGTTAGGGAATAATTTGCAGGATGTGAATATCGTATATCACAAACGCCGGTGCCAGAGTAATGTTCTTTCACTGCACATAAAATGAATAATGTCATGAATGTGACCCTTTAACGCCCTCTCGTTCCTGACTGATCTAAAACCATGGTAACATTAAGCCATGGGTGTATAATAACAAGATCCATTATTCCCTGCACGTCTCGGTGTGTGTGTGTCACGTATTAAATGTAGTACTGAATCACCATGGAGCTATTACCAAGATACTTCCGTCTTGAAATTATCACAACAAAATCATTGTGACTGTGAAATCATTTTACGACTCAAACACTTACTCTGTTTTTATAGAACATTTTTGATATGAGCATACGTAAAATTCCGTATACGATTTTATTTTGTTCAGAGAATATAGCAAACAGGAATACGCTGCGCCCTGTAAAAGATGTACCATTCTTCCATTCCTTGATGATCAATCGTATTGTCTGTTAGCGATATAGTATAATTATTTGAATGTGAACAACCAACATAGTTTTCTCGACGATATGTAATCGTGTTTTGCGATATGTTCACACTTTTACGACAACCTAATTACTAGTATTCATCGTAGGAATTCAGTGACATCCTAGGCCAGTATCCTTCCGTACTACAAATATCACGGAAAAGAAGGTTCGTCTTAATATTGGCCGATATACTAGTACTCAATCTGGGCTAGTATAACGCTCGTATAAAATTGTATGATTACATCGTATATCGCGGAATTTATGTATATCACGGAGTCTAGGTATATCGTGGAAACTACTAGTATATGTATTACGGAATAACATATTGTAGAATCTAAATATTATTTCGCAAAATATAGATGAATCGTAAAAGCTAGATATATCGTGGAAACTACGTGAATGCATGCCACAGAATCTGGCTATATCGCAGAATCCAGCAATTTAACATATTGCATAATCTATCTATATCGCGGAATCTAGATGAATCAAAAAAGTTATCTACGTGCATGGATGTCACATAATGCGGCTATACCGCGGAATCTAGAGATATCGTGGAATCTGATTTGATCACGGAACTTGACCATATGGTTTATGTACATCTAAAACAATACATGATTCCACTAGCGATATATGTGACAACCACAGCGTCCTGAAGTTGATTAAAAATGTACATGTCATGGCAATAATGTATTATTGTTTTCAGAGACGCTTTCCACTGACGCACCCCTCTCAACGGACTCGCCATCTGGCCCACAGTGGCCGTTACCAGGATACGACGAAGATGACGATGATGAAGAAGACGACACTGAAGATGACTCATTCTGGTGGGACGAGAAGAATGATGATAATACAAACCAGGGGACATCTACAGAGGACAAAGAAGGCGATGACGATTATGAAGATGTCATACCGCCAGGTTAGTATATCCATGAGATTTAAAACATGTCCTGTTTATGAAGCTGAATATAACAGCTCGGCAAAGATAATAATATCCTAGATAAAGTCTACAAACAACATTTTTAGTCAAAAATCATTAAAAAATACACGATTAGCATACGCCGTTTTCTGGTGCTGTACTAACTGATCTTTTTACGAAAATACAAGTTATTATGAAGAGAATTACAACGTGATAAGGATTTGAGATGTCGAAACAATTTAAGTAGAGTATAAACAAATGCCGACCGCATGTTTGTACATACATCATGTCATGCTTCAGTATTTATAACTGACTCTATAAACCTACCGGGTAAGCTAAATAACAATTAACCTGGGTCGTTGAAGTTATAACTGCGTTTAAGAGGTATTACGGGGAGCTAATCATTCTTGTCAACCGTATCAGTTGTTTTTTCTTCTCTAACTATAAAATGTACACCCGTAAGCCATTCGCGGATGTGGGACAACTTTCACTAGCAAATCTTTCTATTGAGCACGAGAAACAAAAACCTGTCTAATATTCAGCTAAACCCACCGTAACGGCATAATAAGATGGATAGTATTAACTAGCATGGTCTTCACTAATACATTAATATAAACGCACTATTGTCAAATCATCGTAATCATCGGATTCATTGGGTCATCCGATGACGTCACAGATGCGCGAAAACCAATTAGTTAAAGTAGTAAAAACTGCCAAGGTAACGTGATCAATAAATTGACCCGCTGGTGTCAAATATTTTTACTTTTCACTTATTTAGTTAACCACGGTTTACAAATCACAACTCATTTTAATAACAAAGCAATAACGCTACAGACCCTCCCTATAAGGAGGGCTGAAGGGCTTTGGTCTGTGCATGCGAGTTTCCATGGTAATGTAAGTAAGTAAGCCAATCAGTGATGACGCCGAATTCTGTGCCGTCTACGTGCTTACGTAGCGATTCGCCTGACCATTCTTGGCAGCACTGGAACGGGCATTTTGATTGGCTGGATTCAGTCCAGGCTTAATGACAAACGACTAAACAAACAAACACTGTGGTCGTTTGAATGACATTTCTTACACCCATCTACGTTATGCTGACGTCATAACAGCGCGTTGTCTATAGAGGGCGTGACTTTTATAAAAGGCGTATACATAAACTGCATTTCAAATATACAAGCGTTTGCATGGCGTGATGAATAAGGTTTGTACACATTACGTGCCCATTCCAATTTACGAAGCGTTTCATCAGTTACTGGCAGACTAGGATATTCTGTTGAAATGATAGTATTCGAGAACAGTCATCCGATGTGATATTGGTATTTATAGTATTAGAGTAGTAGCACCTGGTGCCCCAAAATACATCAAATAGAACTTTTTTTAAATAAGTCCATTGGACTAAGACAAGTATGGGTGAATATATTTTCAATAATATCACACTGACGTTTGAGGACACTAAAACTGATTCTGTCCTCATTATGAATATGTTTAATTGTGAATTCTACGTGTGTAGTGCGACGGTGTCTAGACATTCCGTAGCGTGAGTTCCATTCCCTTAGCTACGTGCACTGATTAGCAAGGCGGACTGATAGCTTATTGGTGGTGTGTCGTGTCACACGGTTCCTTGTCGCTGTTGCGCGAGCGTGGTTATTAATTGGTCTGGTGATGCAATTCCCGGTGCACATCATCCCCTGTTCAACTTAGTACATATCTATTCTGTAATCCTCGGGAGTTCAGCCAATCAACTTGCATAGTCTATAGTGAGCTTTTCACTTGTCTCGCAAGCACCACTGGAATACTGATTTGGAAAATTTATGACAATAAATTACAGTTGTTATCTTTAAGACAGTACTTTAATTAAATTGTAATGCAAAGCATTGTTCATTTATATATTATTCGGTGTTTTTTTTTTTCATTCTATAAAGTAAACGTGGTCCTTAGTATATCATTGTACAATTTGATTTAAATCTGTTTTTATACTTTTTTAATTTATTTTATTTATCTTAAAAGTTTATTCAATTTTACTAGGTTGTAGTAGTTTGTTTAGTAGTAACTTTTTGTTTGTTTGTTTGTACTACATACATACATGCTATTTCAACTTGTTAGGTTTCACGATTACTAAAATTTTAAACTACTACCAGTAAATAATTCAAAAATTTAAACCTATGAAAAAATATTATTTTAATTAGATTAGGTATAGTGAAATTTATTCTTTGGAAGTTGATGTTTTCACACCGCAAACAATGCCATTCACTGACAGATCTATATTTAATCATTAAACGGATGAAGAATAGTTCCTTTCTGTATAAAGATAACACATTCACAGCAATTATCTTATTCAACATACAAAGAATTATGCGACATATGAAATACATCCTATAATACGTGATATTTATTTTATTTTTGATATTTACTATTTTACCATTTTATTTCGTTACTATAATTTTATCCCGTGCCGAATTCTGAACACTTTATTTATAAGCATAGATCAGAGAATATACTGACATGAAAGCCACTTTTACGAGGGCTGAGAGAGGTGAGCCAATCATCTACTCGTTTGCGATAAGAATGCCTGGTTCTACATGGACCCACGTAACCACAGTTTCTGTCGTATCCCGTGTTCACTGGCCTAAACTAAGTGTACTCTCGTCCTTACTGTCGAGTGAACACAACCTTCCCGATAAGATGCTAATGAATACACCTTGCCCAAATATACGGTACATTTATATGGAAATATTTCATTCATTTTCCCGTGACAAAATCAAATGTTCGCGCCACGATGTCGGTTATGTGAAGTGTATCTCGTGTAAAACGTGGCTTTGTTTGAAGCCAATTTCCAACAGTACCAACAGTGACAAGTGATAATAAAAATACTAACAGTAGACGCCGATACAGTATGGATTAAATAGTAAACAAAAATATGAAATACATATAAATATAAAAAAAGAGTAATCGAATTGAATACCAAATCAATTTAGAACTGTTATTGGTGTTACGACAAATTGCTGGTATTTTACCCAATAAATAGGGACGACAAATGTTTTCTTCAAAAGTGTCAAATAACGATTTATTTAGACACACGTCATCAATATTTATTTTCGAAATATTTGGGCAGAGAAAAACTGCATAAATAGATGAAAATTACTATTTTTAGAAGCTACGTTAAAGAATTAATTTCATGTCCTATTAATTCTTGACAACCATCCTATAACTATACATATAAACGAAATCAAATGAAATTTTGAGATATGGTGAAAAGTTGTTACCATAGGAACCAATGATAAATGGCCCATCATTTTCATGGATATTTGACATGTGTTTTTTGCAAAAGTAGTTTGGATTACCATACTTCTTTTATCTCGGATTTGTGAGCAACACACATTTAAACCACGGTGTAAATGGCAAGGAAATCCAGTTATTTATTTTATTTATAGCGAACCACCTTAACATGGCACATTTCTTGCGTGTAACTGTGCTATACACGTGACTACCCGCCAGCCACACCCAAATCAGTCCCTTCCAGCAGTCATATTAAAGGAGACATACCGTACAAACATCTGACACGACTTTATGCATATATACCCACTGTATGTAAGCTCGTATGATGAAACGTACTTTACAGCCCCAGGCCTTGGTTGACATTTGCAAAAAATGCAATCATTAGGTCCCCAACTTCTTTTAACAGATGTTACATCATACCAAACAGCTATGGGGGTGGACTATTTGGGGAACAATGGGCTAACTAATAAACAATGTTGCATAAAAACCGCTGCGAGGAAAACTGAAAACAAAATGTTTACAACTATATCTAAGGCTCCACGTAGTGTACAATATGTCTTCCGTTAAAGCTCGGGTCTACGACAGGAGTCTAGTCTGTCATTCCTTTTTTACTTTTCGTTTTTCATAAATGACGTAGGAATACATTTTATGGCTCAAAAGTTCAAAAACTGATTTCTAACAAAACTAGTAAATATTTTAAAATTTATATTTCATTCATTACACTATATGCCAATTGATGTGTTTTTACAACTGTTCATACCAACATTCTACCGATATTACTGTATGCATATGGTTGCGAGGTGACTACACCTCCTATGACGCAATTAAGGTAGACGCCTACTCATAAATGAAAATACCCAGAATTTATTCATTTTACAATACATTGTACTCCAAAGCAATATAAGAATATTGACTTAAAAAAAGTTGGGGTCACCAGCTCTTTTTTCGAGAAATTTATGATTGTATTTAAGTGGAAATTCGTCATTTTGGCAGTAACATAATGCTTTTACCATAGGTTCCTATGGCAATGATATAAAATCTAACCTGGTGACATTAGCTGAAAAAAGCATATATTGTTAGTGATGGAGTGCTTTTTATTGTCCTGAATTATTTCAAAAATCTGGGTTTTAAAAAGTGTAAACAAATGCAATTTTTCTTTAACATTGTGTTCTATGGAAATTTTCTAAAAATTAGCTTCATGATTGTACATAATAAACCAATGGACATTGTCATGCAATTTATGACCAATTTTGTCAAAAATTACGAGTAGGCTTCTACCTAAAGAAGGAACTTGGACGGTTCACCATAAATTCCAAATAGTATTCATGCGCATCGTTAAATATTGACAGCACAAAATAGATATACATTCTAATGACTAATCTGAATAAAATCAGACTTGCTGGGCGACATCTGCCAAGATCTAGTATTTTTATATTTTTTTTGGAAATTGAAGAAATGGAATGAGTATTTGTAAATCTTTTTAAAAAAATTCCCGAGATATTGACTTACAAACCTGGTCAGCAAAATTTAAATCATACACCAGATTGTTACAGATAATTTGAGACAAGTATTAGCAGTTACGTACGCAAATTAAAAAGCTCAAAATTAATTTCTGTGCTAAGTATGTTTAAAATTTGAAAACAGGTAGAAGATGAAACATTTGCAGAGATCAACTGTCGTGTATAGTGTGTCCGCACATAATTACACGGTTTATGAAAAACTGAGATTAAAATAATTTTTTGTGTACTATTTCACGCATCCAACTGAAACTAACTTAATAGATCTGATGAAAACAGATGTATCAGCAAAAACGTAGCACTTTATTTGAATTTCTCAACGAAATGTATTTTATTTTCTCAAATTATTATTTCTGATTGTTTGTGCCTATTTTTCTTGTGTTGAACTTAAATAAAACATCTTTTAGTGTTCAAAATCACTTTATTCTCTATAAGGTCTACAAGGCCGGTGGCCAAGATACTGAACAGAATCGTATTACTAGTATTATAGTATTATTATAAATGCATATTCCTTCAAAAATCATTCTGGAAATAAAATGCGATTAAAAAAAGAATAATTCTACACGACTCATTATAATGACCTTAACGCATTTAAGGACACCCTTTTCCTATCCATCTGTGTTAATATTGTTTGTATTGATTGTGTGTTACCTTAGGAGCGCCATCACTGGTTACTCAGCCTGGTGAAGTGATCGCCTTTGTTGGTGACCCGGCGAATATTGAGTGTGACGTCATCGGAAATCCGGCTCCGTCCAAGTTCTGGCAGAAAGATGACAAACCTATGTTCCCCGGTCAGACATATGGCGAGATATTCGGTACGTAGTCAAATGTTCATGATTTGTTAATTATTGATATGTTATTTGGTACATACATCGCGTGACTTTAGATTCGGGACTGGTTAATACTGGTTAAATTCATACTTTTATGTCTGTGATATTATCATTATCATTATTGTGTATTTTAAAATCTGTGTGCTTTAATTTGTTATCAGTTTCCGAGAAAGGTGTTTTACACTTCCCAAGTGCAGTCAAAGAATACACCGGTAACTACGTATGTATGGCAGTAAATACTGTCGGTAGCTTAGCGGCAGTGTACGCCCTCAAAGTTATAGGTAAGAAATATTTGATATCGTTTTATTTGTTGGAAGACAGTTTATAACACTCCTCATACACCGACCACATGAGTGGTATACTCACACTCCTCTATCCCGTGGGGTTTGAAATAATTAATTTTTATATTTAATATTCATTTTAATTTTGAAAAGTCAACTATAGTAAACAATTATAAACATGCACGTTTATCCTTCTAATGTTTCGTTGTTTACCTCTAGAACGCCCGGATGAATCTGAAGTAACGACTGAACCAGACACCCCCGCTTTGAACGCCGTGTGCTACGAACCTTTAGAGAAGGGGACATGTCACCATTACCAGGCTACATGGTACTACAACCAGGAAACAAAAATGTGCGAAGTATTTGTCTATGGCGGTTGTGATGGCAACAATAATCGTTTTTCATCGTATGAGCAATGTCGTGCAGCGTGCCCGTGTAAGTAGAACAAGCATACACATCAGCGTATTCCGACAGTGACGCGATGTCGGTACATCTTTCCAGAAGTCGCGTTTTTTAGCTTTTCTGTGACAACATCATGACGTCGTGGATTTAAGAATTTTCAAACGGAAAACAACTTTTAGGATCTTTGTATTATTATTATTATTATTATTATTATTATTATTATTATTATTATTATTATTATTATTATTATTATTATTATTATTATTATTATTATTATTATTATTATTATTATTATTATTATTATTATTATTATTATTTTTATTATTATTATCATCATCATTATTATCATTATTATTATTATATTATTCTCAATATATTTTTAATATATTTTGCCATACAAGATCAACAAGAATGATAATTTTTTTATAAAATGCACGCAAAATTTTGTTCATGATGATATATGTTTTTCATATTTTTCAGTGATGCCCGAAAACCGATGTCAGCATCCGTTAGAAACTGGACCGTGCCGCGGCTATTTCCGAAGATGGGGATGGGATGCGACTAAAAAAGAATGCGTTTCATTTGTTTATGGTGGCTGTCTTGGAAATGAAAACAACTTTGATGACCAAGAAAGCTGCACTGATGCATGTCAAGGAAATGAAGGTAAACACAAGCTGTAAACAAATCTGATTGATAAAAAGTTGATTAGATCAGCCAGCTTTGGTAATATCGATAGAGAACTTGTGACGTGAAACTCTCTGACATTATATTGCTCGGTTTTGTGAGCTCCTGTGACACGCGCTCAAAAACTTTCTTGTTCATTTCTTATACAACCATAAGGTTTATATATAATAATATGTTTGTTTTTTGGGGTATTACTTGACAGTAACAAGCCATGAATCTAACCCAGATACAAACATACTAGACATGATTATCAACGATGAATCACCAAAACAAGAATACCCCATACCGGAGATTGTTGAAATTAAAAAACCAGCCATAGGATCCATTCAACTGACGTCTGTTAATGACAAAGCTGTCTTGCCTGTCAGTGAGTATACCGGGCCACGTGAATGCGATGACTGCGAGCCGGAAACCAGCTTACACGACAGTTTTTGTAGGAAAGACTTCGGTAAGTTGTATAGTGTTCGATCGATTTGTGCGTTATTCTAGAGATTATTTCTCCCGCTTGTTTTACAATTCACAATTAAATGAATGTGAATATAATTTGCTAGCGAAATTTTATACACCCATAATTTTTAAACCGGATGTTGCGCCGACGTCAACAACTATTATCCAACTTCTACTCCGTCAATATTTAGTTAAAGGGCGGTGGTCGTCGCGCAGCGCGTACTCGAATTTCATGTAAACAAACAA